ACCTCAGATATATAAAGCAAATATTATTTATGGGGAGAGAGAAATAAGAATCCATACAATAACTGTTGGGGATTTCAACACACCACTCTCAACATTGGAAAGGTCATCTAGAAAGAAAATCAACAAATACTAGATTTAAACCACACTTTACATCAAATGGACCAAACATTTACAGAACATTTTGTCCAACAGCTGCAGAATGCACATTTTTCTCATCAGCACATGGAATATTCTTGAGGACACACCATATGTTAGGCAACAAAAACAAGTCTCAATAAATTTTTAAAAAATCAGAATCTAATCAGGTATCTTCTCAAATCACAATGGAATAAAATGAGGTATTGATCACAAGGTGAATTCTGGAAACTTAAACAAGAAATTTAAAGAAGATGCTTCTAAACAACCATTGGGTCAATCAAGAAATTGAGAAAGAAACAAAAGAAAATGAAAACACAACATGCCAAAATCCGTGGGATTTGCAAAAGCAATGATAACATGGAAGTTGATAGCAAAAAATACATGCATTAAAAAAGAAGAAAGATTTCAAATAAACACTCTAATAATGCATCTCAAAGACTAGAATAGCAAGAAAAAACCAAACACCAAATTGGTAGAAGGAAAGAAATAAGATCAGAGCATAACCAAATGAAATAGAGACAAAATCATCATCATCATCAATGAAACAAAGAGTTGGTTTTGAAAAGATAAACAATAATCAATAAACTATTGGGTACACAAAGCAAGACAAAAAGAGAAAGACACAAGTAAATAAAATCAGAAACAAAGAAGACAACATTACAACTGATACCGCAGAAATATAAAGGATCCTCAAAAACTATTATGAACAATTACATGCTGACAAATTGGAAAATCTAGATGAAATAGATGAATTCCTGGCCACATGTAACCTATCAAGCTTGGACCAGAAAGAAACAAAAAACAGCTTGAAAAGAAAAATAATGAGTAATAAGACTGAATCATGAATAAAAAGTCTTCCAACAAAGAAAAGCCCAGGACAGGATGGCTTTACTGCTGAATTGTACCCAACTAATAAAGAAGAACTAGTATCAATTCTTCCTAACTCATTCTACAGGGCCAGCATTACCCAATACCAAACTAGACAAGGATATAGCAAAAAAAGAAAACTACAGGTTAATAGCTGTGATAAACACAGATGCAAATATCCTTACCCAAATACTAGCAAATCAAATCCAACAACATGTCAAAAAGATAATATACCAGGATCAGGTGAGATTTATCCCAGGGATGCAAAGACAGTTCAACATATGCAGAGTAATACATATGATACACCCACCAACAGAATGAAAGACAAAAAACATGATCATCTCAATATGTACAACAAATTAGGTACATAAGGAATATACTTCAACATAATGAAAGCCACATACTACAAACTCACAGTAAACATTAACCTGAATGGGGAAAAGCCAAAAACCTTTCTTCTAAGAATTGCAACAAGCCAAGGACGCCTACTTTCATAACTCTTATTCAACATGCTACCCCAAGTCCTAGCCAGAGCAATCTGGTAAGGGAAAGAAATAAAAGGCATCAAAATCAAAAAACAGGAAGCTGAATTGTTCCTTTTTGCAGATGACATAATCTTACATCTTGAAAGCCCCAAAAACTCTACTAAAAAACTCCTAGAACTGATTTAAAAAATTCAGTAGATTTGTGGGATACAAAATCAACATAAAAAAAATCAGTAGTATTTCCATGCACTAATACGAAACTAGCTGGAAAAGAAATCAAGAAAGCAATCACGTTTACAATAGCTACAAAAAATAATGATGATGATGATGATGGACAGTGCCTGTGGCTCAAGGATTAGGGCACTGGCCCCATATACTGGGGGTGGCAGGTTCAAGCCTGACCCCAGCCAACACTGCAAAAGAATAATAATAATAATAATAATAATAATGATACACCTAGAAATAAATTTAACCAAGGAGGTAAAAGACCCTCTACAAGTAAAATTAAAAAACACTGATGAAAGAAACTAAAGAGCATAAAAACAAATGGAAAGATAACCAATAGAATAATTATTAGAATTATTATTTTTAATGACTACACTACCCAAAGCAATCTACAGATTCAAAGCAATCCCTATCAAAATGCCAATAACATTCTTCATAGAAATAGAGAAAACAATCTTGAAATTTGTTTGAAACCATAAAAGACCCCAAACAGTCAAAACAACACTGAGTAAAAAGAATAAAGTTACGGGCATTACAATTCCATTGGTGTAAGTGTTGTTTTTTATACCAACACCATGCTGCTCTGGTTACTACAGTATAGCTTTATAATGGTTTGAATTCATATATTGTAATACCTGTAACAAAGAACAACCCAAGAAATAAATTGATGTAATTACCACCAAATGATTTTTAACAAAGGGATATCCTCTACAATAACTAAGAAATTCGGGGGAAACTGGAAATCCATATGCAGAAGAAAGAAACACCCCTACTTCTTATCACATATAAAAAATCAACTCAAAATGTATTAAAGACTTAAACATAGGAGCCGAAAGAATCAACCATAGAAGAAAACCAAGGGTAAATACTCCATGACATTGGTCTAGACAAAGATCTATGGCTAAGACCTCTAAAGGACAAACAACAAAAACAAAAATAGACAAATGGGACTATATTACACTAAAAAACTTCTTCTATAAACAGTGAAGAGACAATCTTTAGGATGGAGAAAAGATAAAATTATTTATCTGACAAGTGACTAACATCCAGAACATATAAGGAACTCAAACAACTCAAGAGCAAAAAACCTCAGTCTCATTAAAAAGTAGGCAAAGGATCTGAACAAATATTTCTCAAAGACACACAAATGGTTAACAAGTATATATGGAAAAAGTTCTGAACATCACTAAACAGCAGGGAAATGCAAACCACAATGAGCTATCATCTCATCCCAATTAGAATGACTACTATCAAAAAGACAAAAAACGATAAATGCTGGCAAGGGTATGAAGAAAAGGGAAGTCTTATACACTGCTGGTGGGAATATAAATTAATATAGCCATACTGGAAAACAGTATGGAAATCTCAAAAAACTAAAACTAGAGCTAACATATAATCCACCAAGCCTACCGCTAGATATTTATCCAAAGGAAAGGAAATCCATACATCAAAGGGAGACCTGCACCCCCCATGGTTATTGCAGCTCTACTCACGATAACCAAGATACAGAACCAACTTAACTGATAGCCAACAGATGAATGGATAAAGAAAATGTGGCATGTAAACACAATGGAATATTACTCGGTCATAAAAAAGAACAAAAATCCTCAGGTGTAGCAGTGTGGATGAAACTGGATCACTGTGTTAAATAAAACAAGCCAGTCATGGAAAGACAAGTATCAATCGTTCTCACTCATATGAGAGAGCTAAAATAATTGATCTCATGGAGGTCCAGAGACGAATGATGGTTACCAAAGGTTGGGAAGAGTGACAGGGGATGAAGAGAGGTCAGTTAATGGATACAAACATATAGTTAGAAGGAATAAGCTCTAGTGTTTGATAGCACAGAAGGGTGGATATATTAATAGTTAACAATATACTGTATATTTCACAATAGCCGAAAGATTTGAAACGTTCCCTACACAAAGAAATGATAAACGTTTGAGGTGATGGATATCTAAATACCCTGATTAGATCACTACACATTGCATACATGTATCAAAATACCACACGTACCCCCTAAATATATGCAATATAGTAGTTACATAAATAAAAAATATGGATCCCCATCTCAGGGTAGGCAAGGGACTTGAATAGAAATTTCTCTAAAGAAGATATGTGCATGGCCTACAGATATATGAACAAATGCTCTCCATCCTTAATCATCAGAGAAATGCAAATCAAAACTACTTTGAGGTATCACCTAACCCCAGTAAGATTAGCCCATATCACAAAATCCCAAAACCAGAGATGTTGGCGTGGATGTGGAGAAAAGGGAACACTTCTACACTGCCTGTTGGAATGCAAATTAATTCGTTCCTTTTGGAAAGACATCTGGAGAACACTTAGAGAACTAAAAATAGACCTGCCATTTGATACTGCGATTCCTCTATTAGGTACATATCCAGAAGACCAAAAATCACACTACAACAAAGATATTTGTATCAGAATGTTTCTTGCAGCCCAATTCATAATTGCTAGGTCATGGAAGAAGCCCAAGGGCCCATCGACCCACAAATGGATCAATAAATTGTGGTATATGTTAACCATGGAATATTATGCAGCCATAAAGAAAGATGGAGACTTTACCTCCTTCATGTTTATATGGATGGAATTAGAAAATGTTTTTCTTAGCAAAGTATCTCAAGAATGGAAGAAAAAGTATCCAATGTATACACAGCTGTATTTTGAAACTAATTCATAGCTTTCATAGGAATGTTATAACCTAATTATAGCCTTAGAATATGGGAATGGGGGTGGGAGAGGAGAGGTGAGGGGGGTGTATGGGGGAGGGAGGGTGATTGGTGGGGTCACCTCTATGGTTTATCTTACAAAGGTACGAGTGAATCTTTCTAAAAGCAGAGTATGAATGTCTTGACTTAACTAAGAAAATGACATGAAGGCTGTGTTAACCAGTTTGATGAGAGAGTATTTCAAAATGTATATGAAAACAGCACACTGCACCCCAGGATTGCATTAATGTACACCATTATGCTATAAGAAAAAATAAAGGAAATTTGAATGGGAAAAAAAATATGGATCAACCTTCTGAAAAAACAAGGAATGGCTAGTCTCTTCCAAAAATATCATTTTTTTGGCATCATTTGCAATAGTGTATTTCAAACTCAAAAGCCATTATATTCATGCACCATTATTTCAAATATAAATGTCTATAACTTGATTCAAGAAACAATGTAGGCTTCAATACCCTCCTTTGCCCTTTTAAAGGTATCGGGATTAAGAGAACTTGGACAAAGACAATATTATGTTAGATCAGATACCTACCATTGCTCACCATCCGCCGGGCCACTTCCCACAATACAAGTCCAAAGGCCCAAATATCGACCCTCTTGTAAGAATCAAAACAATCCACCTGGATAGTTTCATCTAGAACTTCTGGGGCCATGTAGCGCTTGGTGCCCACGCGGGGGTTGTTCCCCACGTCAAGTTGATTGGTGCTCTGGGAGTGCATGACTGCCAGGCCTAGAAGGAAGATGACAATGCAAATCAGCTCGTTCCCTTTCTCATAAGAGGTCACTGAAGGACTTTAAAACAGCCCCAATCAAACGCGCCCTCTTGTGGTGCCCATGGTCACTGCTGCACTACACCATAATAATCCATGGAACATCCTTTGTGGTGATGCCCACAGTGAGAGCAGAGAGAGGGACTAATACCAGAAACATTCTGAGGCTATTAAGTTAACAGACAAATACAGGCAAGATTTACTTAAGAATGAAATTATTTACTGATGCATATGCAAACCAACTGAAAATGACTAGCGTAACACTCAACAAAATGAAGAGTGAGCAGGGCCTGTAAATCTTCGCAATCCTAAGATCCCTCAGGGATCTCGTAAGCCATCTATAGAGAATGCTTCTTCTTTCACTCCATGGCTTTGACAGTGTGGGACAATGACTCCACACAATGTCAGGGAGTTAACACATATTATCTCCTTCTTAACAATCAATAAAATAATGGCAACTGCATTCAGCTAAAGCAGCCAGGTTCTTCCCCCTATTTTTATCACCAACCCCAAGATTTCAATTCTGTGGACACTATGAATGTTTCCCAGTCATATACAGCAGTCCCCCCCTTATCCACAGTTTCAGTTACCCACGGTCAACTGCAGTCCAAAAATAGGTGAGTACAGTATAAGATATTTTGAGGGAGAGAGACAGAGGAAAGAACATGCATGCACAAGCCCATTCACGTAACTTCTATTGCAGCAGCATGTTACTGTTATAATGATCCTATCTTATTGTTAGTTATTGTTGTTAATCTCTTACTGTGCCTACTTTAGAAATTAAACTTTATCATAATTATGTATGTACAGGAAAAAATATATTATATATGTATTTTTAATATATGTATTTTTATATATGCATATAATATATAAATATATGTATATATATCTTTAGAATCCAATTCTATCTACACTTTCAAGCAAGAAGGACTACTGTATGCCCCTCCACCACTTCCAGAACCAAGGAATATTAAAACATCAGAATATTAAAAGGTAAAATTTAAATAGACCTGGAGATATTCTCTGGTAGCATTAAAATATGTCCAAAAGTTCTTCAAAAGGTGAATGAAGCATAATTCCTTATCTTTTCAGTGTATGCTGGACTATTGAATAGAGTATGGCAAAAGTGGCGGTGTGTGTCTTCACAACTGGTACGTAAGGGACATTATAAAGTCATAAAAGGCTTTCTATCTATTCTCTCCTGGTTTACTCGCCATGTTATGAAGACACACAAGTGGCCCTATGGCAAGGTCTACTTGGCAAGGAACTGAGGCCTGCTGCCAATAGCCACATGAGTGTACCATCATGGCAATGGATCCTCCACCCCCAGTCAAGCCTTCAGATAACTGCACTGACCAACAGCTGGATTTTATGTATCCCTGAGATCATGCTAAGACTCCTAACCCTCAAGGGACTATAGGAGATAATATATCTGAGTTGTCTTAAACTGCTAAATTTGACAAATAATTTGTTTTCTAACAATAGATAATTATAACACTAAAGAGACAAAAACAACCAAATGTAGCGTGTGAGCCCTGACTAAATTCTTGTTTGAAAAAACTGGAGACACTCGAAAGTGAGTATTAAATGTTACTAGAGAACTATCAATAATCTTTAGGTGTTATAGAGTTAATTATGCAGGAGATGCATTTTAAAGTATTTTTATGGAATAAATTTTTAAGTGTTGAAGAATAAAATGTGATGTCTGTAACATTTTAGCAAAAATATACATATAAACATACAGATAAAGAGAATATGGCAAAGTTTTAACTGTTTTTGAATCCAGTTGTTGAGGATTTAAGTGATCATTATAATGGTCTTTCAACTCCCTAAATGCTTGAATTTTTAAATAAAAAGTAGAAGATTGAATGGAATGTTGGTCTTTTGGTAGTATCAATAATAAAATACTATTTCTAATGAGTGATACTTAATTACTGGGTATAGCATAAAAAATTATTTACAAATTATGGTCTTATAGGAGCTACTTTCCATACTGTGGTAATTATACTCTGAATAATGAGTCTTTAACATAGATTCTTACACCTTCCTATGTATCTAACTGGAAGGCTGCAAGTCACAAGAAATGTAGTTCAAGAATAATTAGCTGGACTTACTCCAAAACTCTCCCTACTCCCTCCCCACCAAGTCCCATAAACCAAAGCCAAGAGCTGCCTCAATCTGTCCACTCTTCCCAGACCTCTGGATTAACACTGCAACTACCATTTGAATCTTCATTATTTTCCAGGGGTTTAGAAAAATTTCTGAATTTTAACAGAGTCCTGAGAAGTGGCCTTAATTCTTTTTAGTTACACAAGTAATACATGATCACACTACTATGAAGGTTTTCAACAATGCAGAAGCCAGTACTTGGCATCAAACACACGGGCGTCTCTCCCCATCCCTCTCATTTAGTGTAATCAGCCCTTGGGCCGTGTGAATAGACCTGCACAAAAATACAGTGAGTAACTCAGAAAAGCAGAATTCAAACCCAAATCGCTCAGGCTGCAAGAGCCATGGAATAAGCCAAAAAAGGCTTCTATACCAAAACTAAAAAAAACTGCCTACAAAAAAACTGTAGGGCCAGGTTCTTTCAATGCTTACCCTAAATATTTTTCTTCTCGCACTTAGGAAACATTTAAAATAATTTCTTAGCCTAAAAGCAGACTTTAAAGGGATTCAAAGGAAGCTAATTTTCCTAACATGTCAAATCCCTTGTGTTTAAAAACAAACCAAAATTAATTTTTGTCTACATCATTATCAGTCTGACAATAATAGCTATGATATGAATATAATAGAAACCATTTTTTAGTAAAGTAGTATAAAGACTCTCAATAGTACACTGGAATGAATATGGTTATTACAATTCAGTTCTCATTAGCACAGTTATTCAGCCAGTATTCCAGGAGTCTGGAATGAATATAGTTTTATATAAAATACTAGAATAAAAATAGTCTTATTTATAATGCAATTATAGCTACACTGAGCATTACCCTAACACCATAAAAATGAGATACGCCAGTAAGGCAAAGGGTGAATTGGTTTGGGAATTATTTTCCTCCTTCTCAACTTGAGAATTATACCTGGGTTACAGAAGAATGATTTTAGAAACTACTTCTCAGATAAACTCATCCCATAATCTAATTGTGCCCCTCCTTCCCATGAAGGTTTGTGAAATCAGAATGCACAATATTGGTTCCCTCTGAGGTGTGGGGTGGCAGGACCTACCGAAAGAGCCCAGGGTGACTTTCTAAAGTAACGGGAAAATCTGTACCTTGATAGGGATTTGGGTTTTATGGCATTTGTCAAAACTCTGAGAAGGTACGCAAGACTTGGGTTTTTCACAGTAAACTTTATCTAAAAAGAAAAATAAAAGCAAATAAATAAAGCCCTCTAGTTAATGATATAGTAGTGTACATGCTGAAATTGTCAGAGGGAAGGATTCTTCTGCCTGCAATTTTTGCAATATATCACAGATTAAGAACAGATGGAGGATGAAGAGATGGATAAATAATAAATGTAAAATGCTCTATTAGGAAAATGTTAATTTAATGGGAGAACTGAGATGGTGGGTATATAGTTTTTTTCACTATAAACTTTTTTCAACTTGTCTGCATGTTGAAATTTTTCCTAATAATATGTTAGGGAAAAAAAGAGATGCACATCAGCTAAACATTGGGTACCACAGAAGTAAACTGGTCATGAAAAAGTATTTTTAAAACCTTACCCAAATCTGCTATGCAGCACTGTCCATTCTTCTTAACCAGGATATTTTTGCTCTTTAAATCTCGATGGGCAATGGCTGGTTTCCCTTGGGTCCCAAATATCTCTATGTGCAAATGAGCAAGCCCACTAGCTATGGACAGCACTATTCGAAGGCAGCTAACTGTATCCAGAGTAGTAAGCTGAAGATAGTCATACAACGATCCCATTTCATGGTAATGTGTGATTAACCATAACTGGGTACTGGAGTGCCTTGATGTCATGTCTGAAGCAATGAAACCTGGAGAGAGCAAGAACAAAATTAATACACAAGTGAAAATTCTATATTGTAATTTATAGTATTTAGAAATAGTGACCTACACATTAAACATGACCTATGATAAAGATAGTTGAACTAACCAACTGTCGTAAGAGGAGGTTTACAGACATATTAACAGAAAAAATAGTAATATTCATTTCTTAAAAGGGCAGTGTGAATAAACAGGAAACCCTCACATTCATTTCCATTGTTAAATAATCCTTTTAAAAACTATTTCACATCGTATTAAGATTCAAATAGCAGTATCTTTGTGCTCACTAAAAATCAAAGTGCCAGATTCTTCATCATGTTGATATTTTAAGCACAAATCATTCATCCATCATCCCAAAAGAACACCAAACCTAAAACCTGGATACCCATATAACTGCCTGTGATTTCCTGTGTAATATTGGTCCACTCAATTAGGCTCTCTGTCCTATGTCTGTTCAGATGTGAAATAAAGTAGGGGAGTTAATATTACATGATTGACTAATTCCTCAAATAAGAAAAGCAACCAATCAAATGTAATAAGTATTCATGATGTTCTTTGTCATTCACTCAAATACCAAGGTGATAATGTTTGTTGGCTAGAAAAGAAGACAGAGGGGGAAAAAAGACAAGAATTCCAATAAAACGTGAAAAGTACTATAATATCTGTCTGCAAAGAACAACATGAGCTCAGAGTAGGGAATCACAGTAGTTCCCTAGACTAGATGTTGTAATCGGCACCAATCAGGAAGAGACAACTAAACTGGTCCTGTAGAGAAGTGAAAATATTGATACATGTGGGTAAAGAGGGAGGAAGTTACTTAGTCGACTGAGCACAATGAAGGAGCCCTACAAGACAGAGGCACGCCCTCGCCTATGAAGTAAATGTGTGCTTATCTTTCAGCTCTAGAGGCACCTGCCCAGCATTCGTCTCACACACGTGCAACATGCTGAAGGGCACTGAAGTTTGGGATTGACAAAAAGAAGAAAACTTTTTTTTAAAAGGACAGATATGGCTTGAGGAACAGTTAAATGACTTGTAAAGATGTAAAAGAAAATACATAAAAAATGCCTTGCCCTTGCCCGGTGCTTTATAGAACATTTATGTCAGTTTCACATTTTCTCCTAAGACTTTTTACAACAGGCCAGTGAGACCGACCTCATTATACTCATTTTACAGATGATAAAGTCGCTCCTTGGAGACATCAAGGATCACACAGCTATTAAGTTGCTAGCAACTCCAAATCTAGTGTCGGCTGTTCCGAGACATGGACAGGAATGCTCTGTGAGCCAAGAAAGGTCCTCTGTTTCATCGTTGTCATCAACAACCACCACAACAGAAGCAGCTAATAATTACCGAGTGCCCACCACGTGCCTGGTACTTACATGCAATCCTCCAACAAGCACATGAAGTCAGTAGATCACACCACTGACATCAGGTCAGTAATGGTCCCTGCAGGTCTAGCTCCAGAACCCAACTCTCACCATCTACCACAGAACCCCAAACAAGTTGAATTCTACTCATAGAAAACTAATTTGACATTCGCACCTATGGGATATCTGAAAAGCGAACGATGTAACATTTTGGCACCTATACCCCCAAGCCAGTTCCATGGCCAGCTCTGAGCCCCCATGCTTTCCCGGACTCCAATCTGTCTGTGTCTCCCCACAACTGCTACTCCTGGGCCCTTGGCTGGCCATAATAAGAATCAAAATGTGTTCTTGGATATTACTTATTCTTAATAAGGAACCAGTCCTGCTTTAATGATTTTAATGATTTAACCAAATGATATTAATCTTTAATGATTCTTCTCGAAAACAAATACCCCAAACTATAAAGCACCACTCAAAAGAAATTAAATCACTGTGGCACATTTGTATAGTTTCCCCCAAAGGAAGATAAGCTTCCAATTAAATAAACAATAAACACAGAAATTTTTACTCTCTCAACTTCCCTAACCCTCCTTGGTCTTGGAGAAAGATTTTGTCTGCCCCTTTAATTATGCTCTAGACCTGTGGTCCCCAACCCCCAGGCCACAGACCGGTACTGGTCGCTGACCTGTTAGGACCTGGGCCACAGAGCATCACCACCTGAGCTCTGCATCCTGTCCCATGCCTACCCCTCCCTAGCCCTGTCTGTGGAAAAATTGTCTTCCATAAAGCCCAGCCCTGGGCCAAAAAGGTTCCAGTCCACGGACTGTTAGGACGCTGGCTGCACAGCAAGAGGTGAGCAGTGGGCAAGCCAGCAAAGACGTGACGCTTTATCTGCACTCACAGCCACTCTGCGCTGCTCATATCACGCCTGAGCGCTGCCTCCTGTACCATTCTCCTCCCCCACCACTATCCGTGGAAGAGCTATCTTCCGTGAAACCAGTCCTGATAGCAAAAAAGTTGTAGACTGTTGTTCTAGACCTTTAATAAAAATAACTTTTAAATAAGCCAGATCTGTTTTAACTATTCCTCTCTCAAGTGTGAATTACTTGGTTTCACAAGCCAAGACCACCTTTACTGGATGTTTGTGTTTTGAGTACAGAACAGTGACTCAGGGTCAGGCTGTCCAGTGGAATTCCCACCTCCACTATTTAACCTCTCTGTGCATCGATTTCCTCCTCAGTTAAAACCAGGACAATAAGGACACCTACCCTCGGCTAGTCATGGCAGAGATTAAAGGAGAAAAAGGCACGGAAAGCACTTAGAGCAGCGGCTCCTGCCTGGTACTGCCATTACCCTTCCTGCCCCTGTGACTGCTGCCGTTGCTGTTGTTACACACAGACATCAAGCTGCAACACAAGGTGGTGTGTGATGCGAGTTAAGGCCGTGGTGCCAAGTGAGGGAGTGGAGAGACGCACAGTCAACTGCACTAGAGGACATGGAAAGGGGCTGAGAGGTGGTGATGGAAGAAGGGGCTGTAGGGGGAGAGTGGGACGAGAATGGCGACAGTTCGAGAGCTAGAGCCCTAAATGTTTGCGGCAATCCCAAGGGAACGGCAAATACTGGGAATAGCTGAATGTGGGCATATTTGAAGGTAAAGGTTAAGAGACTCCTTGGAACCCGCAAATAGGGAGTCTTAAATGCCACTCACAAATGTTGCAGGCATTGTGGGAGCCATCAAAGACACTTTGAGCAGAATTATCTCTGGTTCCCAGCAGAAGACTGGGTGTGGGTGGATGGATTGAAAGGGGGGAGCCAACAGCTGAGGTGAGGAGGATTAAATGATGGCCAAGACCCAGGAGGTAAAGGAAAGTGTGAAATCAAGAGCAAGAACAGGAACAATTCTGACATGGAACGTCACCACCGTAATGTTGAGGAAAAGCCTTGGACAACTGTCAAGCCATTATTCACAGACATTTCGAGTCAGATTTAAATATTAAACTGGCAGCAATAGAATAGAAATAAATTTTGGCAATGGCCTTCCTACAAGCCAGACCTATCCACCAGCCACAAAGTGGCCAACTCTACCTTACACGGAGTTAAATTCTGTCTAAATGTCATATCCACTAAAGAAGCACTCCAGGCCCCATTCACCAGACATGTACTAATACAAACACATTTAGAGAAACTTGTCAAAAATACAGAAGTCAATAGGCCCAGGGAGTATGCTCACCCCGTTTACTGCCATAGCAGCATTGCAACGGGCACTTTACATATTTCACAAGTGTTGCTAAGCTTTAGCTTCCAAATTAAAATGTATGCTGAATCCCTCTGTAAATCTGAGCTTTAAAAATGATGCCTAGTTTGAGGGAATGTGCATTTAATTATGATATCCCTGGGAGCTGTGAATCTCTAGGAAATAGTCCAAAGATCTTTCTGAGTTTGATTTAAGTAATAAATATTCAAAAAGGGTGGGGTAAGTAGAACAATCAATGGAGCCTTGAAGTGAACAATGTGGGGCAAATTTTTGTTGTTTAAAATAACTATCTGCAGATGCAGGGAGAAGAATTAGCAATACCGAATTCCGTTTTCATCATCCAGAGAATCTTGAAACTTATTTGCAAATTTAAACAAGACACTGGTGTTAAAAGAAAATTAAACCATATATAAACGCTCAGGATCCCTATATTGCTTTCCAGGAGCGTCTCGAATTCACATTCACCGAAACAGAAAGGGCAAAGGCAGGCAGTAATTTCTCTCTAGATACAATTAATGAGGGGATTACCCTCAGGCTTACCTAAAATATTTTCGTGCCTCAGCATCACAGTGTTGTACAATTCTGTTTCCCTGAACCACGACTTCTCATCCCGGGAGGAGAAGATCTTCACGGCAACATTTTCTCCTTGCCAGCTGCCTCTCCACACCTCACCGTACCTGCCTTTACCTGGGGAAGGCAAAGCACAGGTGACACTGAACAGGAAGCACACAGAGGCAGCCGCCCGCAGCCCAGAAACTTAGCACCAGCAACTCTTACTCCCTCCCACTGCTTAGTAGAGAAACTCAGTTGGGAGACATAAATATCACAACTTTTTGCTCCTCAAGATATACAAAACTAACGTAGAAACTGCCCTTCCCATCCCTCCTATTGTGATACCAAATTAAACTGCTAAGTATTCCATTTACATTTAAGTTCCTTGATTGAAAGGTATAAAATGTGTATAACTTTTATTTATTTATTTTTTGAGACAGTCTCACTATGTTGCCCTTGGTAGAGTGCCATGGTGTCGTAACTCACTGCAACCTCAAACTCTTGGGCTTAAGCGATTCTCTTGCCTCAGCCTCCCAAGTAGCTGCGACTACAGGTGCCTGCCACAACGCCTGGCTATTTTTTTGTTGTAGTTGTCATTGTTGTTTAGCAGGCCCAGGCCTGGTTCAAACCCACCAGCCACAGTGTATGTGGTCGGCGCCCTACCCACTGAGCTGAGGCCTCTTTGTTTCCATGCCACGGACCCATGTGGACACTTTCAAAGTTGTCCACATTTGTGAATTTACATATACATTGTTTTCACAAAGGAGATGATTAAGTTTAAGCTATGTGTTCTAAGGATTAAAAAACAAACAGAAAAAAAAAACCCACAAGGCTGTGGAAAGGCAGCCACTGCCAACCCTAACGGATTTCTTGGCAGAAGACATAAATTCAAAAGAGGATTTGCAAAGTCTTTAAACCCGTAATCCCAGAACAGTTCTGATTTCTGACATTGGTCATGGGTATTAGTTAGACAGCCGCGTGATGCCACAGGTGGGCCACACGGAACAGCCCAGGACGTTTTGAGAAACATGGCGACTTTAACTGTGATCCGATCTGTTGGGTGCTTGGCCTCCTCGCACAGCATCAACACACCCATCAGCCTGTCAACTCCACCCTCCCTCTTCATTCTTCTCTTTAATTATAGGTAGGGATGATCAGGGAGGCTGGGAGGAGGGGGTAATCACCATGAGACTCAGGGCATCAAGAAGGGGTATAATCAGCACAGATAACAGTGCAGCAGGAGATGCAACCCGAGGGCAGTTGGTTTCTGCCCAGGCGAGTGGCTGTTGGGACCACACAGCTCCTAAAAAGCAGCTGCAGCACCACCTGCACACACAGGAGTACAGCTCCTTGTGGGAACACTAAGCAATAGCTGTAAGGGAAACTATCGTCCAGTAAACTATTACATAATCTTTTAAAAGACTTGTAATGTGTACAGGAGATGTACGTCAGCTTAAAGCTGAAAAAAGGGTACACATTTTATATATAGATGATGATTACAACTACATATAAATATGTTCATCTATGGGGAAATAGGAGAGGACTTAAAAATATATATAGCTCTTGTTTAAATAAAAGAATTATAAAGATACCTTTTACATTAATTATTTTTAAAGGAAAGGGCATAGTGAAAGGGATTCAAGAATTGCAATAAACAACTTCATTGTCCCAAAGCCTACTTACCTTAGGTCATAAAAACCTGTAGTAAGGAGCAGCCGTATCATTTCACTTTTCAAGCACTCTCATTATCCCATAGAGTTCACTTGCAACTGAAAGCTTTTGTCTAGTCATTCTCTAAGCTAATCAGTCACAGGCTCCTTTGACAAGAGCTTCTACAAGCTCAGGTGCTCCAATATGAGTCACAGAGAATAGAGACCACATGGCTAACTCACATCTTAAAGTGTTTTTGAAAAAATAATAGGCAAGAAGGAGATTTTCCAAGTTCCATCCTCCTTCTGAAACCACAACTAACACTGCATATCACCCACAAAGAAGGGGAAAAAGAATTACCGACACACTCCAAGAGTGTAATCTGGCGAGCCACTGTTCTCTGTACCAGAAAGGGAAGACCAGAGCCACTTCCTGATGTACACGAATGATCCAATAAATCCTGAGGTTTAAGAAAAGGAGAAAGAAACCATTAGCTTCCAGTTTGGAGTGTTAGCGTGCATGTCATCGTAACAGTCCTGGACATGTGGCCCATTAGCAGGCATGGACAGCTCCATTAGAAAAAGGATTGGTTTTATTTCTTGGGAAAACTAGCCCTTCCTCTCATATATAACAAGTCTTCCCGAGGGATAAGTATCTTTTCCTGTACCCAGACTTCTGGAATAAAATACATGATGAAAGAAGATGAGCAGACGGAGCAGACAAAGTTTAAGCTGCAAATTAGAAAGTCCAAGAAGCATGGCTGAGCACAGGGAAGCAGGAGAAAGAATGGCAGGGGGAGCTTAGAGAGGAGTGGGGGGTCCTTTCAACTCCAAGAGTCGGATATAATTCAACATAGTCTGCTATGCTCACTAAATATCTATTAAATGATTCACTTTAGTTGCCATACCAACTAAGGCACTCTAATTAGGGACAAACACAGGATTAAGGAGCAAACAACTCTAATGTTGTTGGTAACGAAAAGACTCTTAATAATAACCAGGTGGATCATTACATTGGTACCCTCAGACCGAGAAGGGGCTCCCTGGACAAAGACTTCCTTGTAGGTAGATGAGGAACAAACGAGGGATCACTAAATTATTAATAATACCTCCACGTTATTTCTTGATATACATCACTCATAAATCAGAGAAGAAAACAAAGTATTCATTAAAAATATCAAACCAGTGCCCCCAATCAACTTCTACAAATGAATACGTTGGCAAAAAGAGTCCCATTAGTTCATTCATAAAGTTTTCCTTCTTACTTTCAGCATAAGCCAGAAGCAGGTATCAGGTATGGTATCTATGGATTACCTATCATAACCAATGTTGGGCCCTTGGGGATAGAGGTAGGGCTGCAGTAATGCTGAATTAGTATTCCCCAAATCTCATCCTTTCCCAGACATTTTAGCTGGTCTATTAAAGCAATAAATTGACTTATGTGAATTCCATCTTCTTACACTTTGTCTGAGCACGAGTGTGAAGTACTGTTGATCAGCAAAATTAACAAAAGCTGAACATCCAACAGAAGAAATTTAAAACCCTTAAAAACCACAAAAGAGATAATCAAGAAGAAAATGAGTAGAGTTTCACATCTCCTAACCATTTTCCTCTCTTTTTTTTTTTCTTTATCTGTTTGGGTTTTTTTTTTTGGTAGAATAATTCTAAAAATTAAATTGTGTAGTTTTTTCATAGTGCATGATCCTGCTTCTAAACTCAGGATTTAAGGGGGTAAAAAAAATATATATATATATTCAACCAAAGACTAATAAACATCTTCTTACCTCCCAGATCCCAAGGCTTCTTTTTCAATATAGGCAAGTGGTTTCGTTAGGGTATGTTTTGTTGAAACATACAAATGTGTGTACCACTTAAATAAGCAATTGTGTAGACCCATAATGACAACTTGTTTTAAATAGCATTCTTTGCTGTGTTATGATATCGTGATATGTGTATACTGTCATCTGACATAACTGAGTTTAGAAGACTATTTTAGCATATACTCTAGTCCTCTTTCAACATTCTAAAAGCTATTGAAATGGTAATTTACACCAGATATTCCTATTATTGCCCTTGGTAATTAGTTATGTTAGCAGCTCTAAGGAATGAAGTTCTAACTAGTCTATTTTAGAATCTTGCTTTGCTGAAGCTTTGTCAGGATTCATCCTCACATCTTCTTGCTACTAACTCGATAAACTAATTTAATTTTCCTTAAAGCTTGAAATAGACTTCTAAGTATATTTCTAACAAAAAAAAATTGTATTTCTCTACTTTTCAAAATGGAATGTCCTTATACGTGCACCGTACTGAATGTATCTTCTTTCCCCAGAGCTCCTGCCCCTCAATTTAAGAAGTAGCTCAAAGGAAGCCACACAAACCACAAGTATCCTTGACTTGCAGACCCGTGATGGGATAGGCCAACAGGATGGGATGTTTCCCAGCCTGTATCAGCCACCGCTCAGTGTTTGGATGACTTGCCATGGATGGGTCCTGCAGCTGTCCAGGAGTAGTGCCTGCATGCTACCAAGATGCCCGTTGGTGAGGGGAAGTCTTCTCCAGCAAAACCAAAACTGCAGGGCAAGCATAGCTACAGAACTACCAAGAACCTATAAGCTTAGCATCCAGCAGAACACAATTTATTCCGAGATGAGTTTGGATGATACATAGGAATGGTATTAAATGATACTGAGTCACATTAGAAAGTTATTACCTTGATTATTTTCAATTCATTGGACTGTGACAAGGAGAGAATCTCAATTTGGTACTGGCATGTCTCTCACACCTCTCTAACACCCACAAGTGTCACAAATTTTTTAGAGTGGGCATTACACCCAGCTATCATATCCATGTGGATTTCTATTACTTTTTCCTTTTGTGTTGTATGTTAACGTCTATTTATAGCGAGTGATATCCTTTTCCCACTTAAAAGCTTAAAGGTTCTTTATAATCAAAGTTTGACGAACAACTTTAAAAAGTAAATAAGACAGTCGCTTTGTAATGTGATTTTATCATTTCAAAATATGCAAAAGAGCCATTTTAAAATGCATGACTATAACGGTTTCTAACCCTGTGCTGTTGGATAGAATGTTCACTAGTCAAATGTTGCCTCTTAGCAACTTAACTGTTGCTGGTCTGAAGTGATGTATGTGACAGGTATAAAATACATACAAGATTTTGAAAACTTAGTTTAGAAAAGAACATAAAACAATTAACAACTGTGTATTGATTATATGCTGAAATGATAAAAATTGTCTATGTTGGGTTATGTGTATTTTTTAAAATTAATTTCACCTGTTTAGTATTTTTTTCTTTTTTCTTTTCCTTGTTTTTGTTTTTACTTTTGCTTTCTTGAAGGTGGACACTTGAAATTTAAAATTACAAACACGGCACACCTATTTCTATTGGACAGCACCAGTTTAACCAGGTGACTGCACTCCACAAGGGGGCAGCACGGGAGCACAAAAAATGGAACAGCTACTTTTTTTGGATGGTCACGTTTTAAAGTCGTAAATTACAAGGCGTTGAAATAACCTACAAGGGAAATTGATTTTTAATATTAAACAAACATTCCTTCTTTTTTTAAAAAAAAAAAAAGCACTTTTATGGCTAAGAATAGAGAAATAAAGTGGATGAAGATTATAAACACCAGGTCCTCCAAAATTTGTATTTTCCTCTGTCCTCACAGGGTCTCTTTTCCCTTATTCCGAAAAGAAAAGTAACTATGTAGAACCTACTAAAATAAATCCCCCTCCCTTATTTAAATGTCTGCCTGGAGAAGTTGTTCTAACGTAAGGTGGACTAACTAGCTGCCAACAAACATTTGCTTAGGTCATATGTGACCAAGAGCATGTTGTGTACACCCTCCAGTCTCCCCTTACTGGTTAGTGTTTCATACTTGAAATTAGAAAGTCTCTTCACCAGCTTTCTTATGCTTGAGATTGCCTATGGGGCCAGAAACTCACAGCTAAAGTGCTGTCTCCAACATTGGTGGTGATGAGCCCTTCGATGGTGCCGTACTCAACATCTCGGGGATTGAGGCGTTCTTGGTTGCGCCTTTTAAATTTTCGGAGAGCCACTCCCAGAAGGCAGGCTAGAAGGCATACTGCAAACACTACAGAGAGAATAATGAGGCCAACCTCCAAGTGGAAATTCTGTGTTCCAGGGAAGGACTTCCCTAGAGATGGGTGAGAGAGGAGAAATTGGCTGTAAGCATCACTGTTCACTTATTATTCAGTATAACCAATAATATCCAAACACACAGCTCCTAAATCCTCACCACACAATCTTACATGTCACAAAGAATTAAAACTAAAATGCTTCCTAATACCTGGCCAATGGCCCAGCAATGCTAACCATCATTCAATTAGACACAACTGCAAGTTGAGAAACATCCCACTGAGAATCAACTGTATTAATGCAAGTATATGAAAGTACTTTTAAAATACAAAGTACAGTACAAATCTTTCATATTACTCTTACTAACTTGGGTTTGTTATGTTTTAGCATCAAACCCTTATAGGCAGACACTACACTGTAATATCCCTATGTGGAAGTGCTAAATTAAAACCAAGTTATATAATCTGTGGTCTCTCTCTTCCACATATCATGGAAGTCTACTGCTGAATTCTCACTGATCTTTTGACCTCATGACTTCTGCCCAGGAAACTAGTCATTCCTCTATTTATTTACTCATTTGCTCCAACATTCATTCTGGGATTCACTCCCTTGTTCAGCCATTATTATATGACGTATGTTGGTACATTCACTCAAAACACCTCACGTTATCACTTGAGCAAATATTCACAAAGGCTTTCTACTTGGCGAGTGGGTTAGATCCAAACTTCTTAGCTGGACAGTGAAGGTCCATAATTAAAGAGTCCCAAAACAATCACCATGTCTGGATTCCAGACCCCTTCGTGACATCATGTCACTAGGCTTTGTTCTTCCTTACATTTGCCTGTTTCCACGTTCCTAGTCCCTTTAGCAATCCAATCTCAAGCCTAATTTCCTTTCTATTTTCCTTAACTTTCCAAGCCCAAATAATTAACGACTTGGCACACATGATACTCCCTGGTGCACGTCATCTGTATGATAAAGTGTAAAACTAATGAAATACAATATTAAATTGCAAATATTGTGACCTCCCTAATTAAATTAGAAATTCTTTAAATAGAGAAAATCATTTTCTATGAAAACTCAGGGTCCAAGAGAGTGTTGCCCAGACCAAGGAACTTCATACTGTTGATACCGTAACTATTGTGCAAGTGCAGACATTTCTTGAATGTCCATCCACTCAATTAATAAGAATTTAACTCCCACAACATATAAAAGTAAAGCTTATTCCATTAAAGAATCCTTTAGTTTTAACAATTTAAATAGTTGATCTCTCTTTTTAAAGCCTTCTGTTATTATTCAACCTATTTTTGGTCAGAATTTAACCTTTTCAATATGGCTTTAAGGTCATTTCTTTAACCTCAAAATTGCTACAAAATGATCTTTGTTTCTCTGTCTCTTCCCTTGCTGGCTGACATTTCTGATAGGGTATACTCCTAGTAGTCCTTCTTGTTCCACATTTTGGGGTTGTTTCTTCTTGGGTAAGTACAAAATTAAATGATTATACCTATCAAAATATATGATCAATATATATTAAGAAAATTAATTTGGCTTGGGGTGAGTCTATATTAATATTTGCAGGGACGACTGCATTTTATAGGGAAACAGGTTTAGAGGAGTGCTGATTTCCACAGGACATGAAATTCACATTACATACAATCTGGAGAAGATTCCACCTAAACGATAGGGTTCATGAAAAAGCTCAATCTGCTTCAAGGTTCAGGGATGGGTTACTGGGCATCAGCTATGGGAGGAAGGGTGAGTGAGCTTTCCTGTGTCTCCTTCCTCATAAAGGAAAGGCATTCTACCCGGTACCAGTCTTACGTTCCATTTCCCTCCTTACATACTTGACATGAAGAGCAATATTTATTAAGCAGGAATGTTTCAGAAATTATGACTAACATCACAGCTCCTTAGCAGAAAAGGGTATCAAGAGCTGTTTACCTATTTGCAGCAACCAAAAGAGAAATGATCAGCCAATCAACCTGTCCTCAAGGTAGACATCGCCTTGCCCACATTCCCCAAAATTCCCATCCTCCTTTTAGATGCCCGAAGGCCATGCCTTTTTCTTCCTCACCGAGAGCTACATTTCTGGTCACCCAATCACCTCTGGTTCAGAGAGTACGTGGAAAGCCTATGGCTCCTTTGATCTGTAACTCATGCAGACTTAGGACAATACTAATAAAACTCCTTGATCTAGAAATAGAAAAGTCCATGGTAACCTTTAGTGGGCAGCTGGGCTGTGATGTTCCTGTTACACCAGTCCCCTTGGCAGCACTCCACAGCTTGGCCAGGGGATGGTGGGGTCTTACAAGTCATCTTCCCCTGCTCATAGACCTGGAAGCAGCCTTTCTGGTAGACATGGAAGCCATCATTGATGCTTAGCGAGGAAAAGCACTGCTGGCCTTCACAGTGGTCCTCGCTACCGCAGGAGAGGCCTTCGCATACACACATGTAAAGTTTGGGGGTGACCTTGGGTTTCTCATCTGCAAGGAAGAAAGAAAGGGAAAAAAATCACTGTATAAGTTTTAACCCCACTCGGCAAGGACCATTCCAAACGCCTTCACCAAACAGAAAGTCAGGGTAGGCATCACTACTGGCTGTGATGAGCATATCTGTGATCTTGTCACTTGACCAACCACCAAATAATAATCACTTCTTAATATAAGAATGCATTTTTATAAGCTGTACAGTCTTTCAGAACATACAAGGCCAAAGACTGGTTATCTTCTGTCCATAGACCTCTGAAAATCAGCTTCTTGCACTATGATTTTCCTGTTACCTTCAGCTAAATGGATTCATACTCATATTCCAATTCTTTTTAAAATTTAATTAATTAATTAATTAATATATAGATAGATAGGATGCCACTCTGTCACCCATTCTTGTGTGCAGTGGCATGATCATTATTCACCATAACCTCAAACTTCTGGGCCCAAGTGATCCTCCCACCTCAGCCTCCCAGGTACCTGGAACTAACGTGTCCGGCTAATTTATTTTCTGCAGAGATGATATCCTGCTATTTCGCCCAGGCTAGTGGCAAACTCCTGGGCTCAAGCAACCCTCTTGTGTCAGCCTCCCAAAGTGCTGGGATTATAGACATGAGCCACCATACCCACTCATATCTCAATTCTTATAACAAAATAAAAGTTTTATTGGAACATAATATTCAACACCTTTATTTTATACATAAAATGGCTCCTAAGTATATAGTGGCTATCAATACCAGTTCCTGCTAAGTCTGTACAAACCTCCATCAACTAGTAAAACAAGGAATGCTGACGTTTCTATAGTCATATACTATGCTATGGAAATATACTACAAGCTGAGTAGCCATTATCTGAAATACCTGGGAGAAGGGTTTTGGATTTGGATTTGGGGAGCCTGGGGGTGGATTTGGAGTATATCATCCATACCAGTTGAGCATTCCAAATCTGAAAATCCCAACTCCAAAATGTTCCAGTGAGCATCTCCTTTAAGTCTAATGTCAACTCTCAAAAGGCTTCCTATTTTGAAACATTAATTTCAGATGCTCGACTTATAGTATGTAATAAGAATTTGTAGGGGTGCACATTCTATAACTAAAAATCCATACGATCGATATTTCCAGCTAGACTAACTTTTCCATAGTAGCAACACCAGAGTTTTTACATTGGTTATAATGGGAATTAATAGCTACTTAAAAATCTTCAACCAGTAGAAAAAAATTTGGCACTAACTATTAAGGAAGAGAGCACCACAGGGAGACAAAGGGACAGAACAATGTCTGAAGAGTAGGGTAAGATAGGACCAAAGGAAGAACCCACATCTGGTAGTCCAGAGTGTGATGGAAAGAGAGACAGAATGTATCGGGAAAGCAAACAGAATCACACCTCTTCACTGGCCCTCTCTGAGCAATACTTATTTACAGTCTCATTTTCACATCACTCTTTTCCTCTCCCTTGAAGGGATGAAGAGTCCAGACTTGCTGGTCCTGCCAGTTTCCACTAGTGGGGAATGAAAGTGAAGATAGACGGTAAACAGGAAGGTCCTGGAGGCCACTCATTAGCCTAAGCCACGTTCACCAAAGCACCATTCACGTGCGGAAACCCAGCTTTCAGAGCTCCCGCTGCAGAGGTCTGCGGCACACAGGGGCCGCTTTCTAATCCTTGAACCCTCTGTAGTGGGCCTGTGAGATAACTGCCTCTTTCTTAAAATAACAGGTCGGGTGGCTGTGCTTTCCACAGGAGACCTTAAGGGAAGGTCTTTCAAAATGTCAAGCTCATTTACACAGATTCGTGTGGGTGTGTGTAGGGATGTGGGTTATCGCAGAAAAAGAGAAACGCGTTCTTAATCTTTCTTCTTCTCTCTTCAAAGAAGTGGAAAAATAGTTCACTGCCCACTGTAATGTGGGTGCCTCGTCCCACAGGGTAAGTGCACGCAGACACACAGACACAAGCCTGCTATTTATAAGTGACTTGCTAGTGCTTTTGAAAACCACAAGGGGCTCATCCGAAAGCAAAGACATGCCTGAAAGCAGCAAATCCAAAATAGCCGCTGACAGCCTATGTATGTCACCAGTCTCACCCTGGAGAGTCAAGAGCCCTCAGACATTTTTAATGAGCGAAAATTGTAATGAGCAAAGAGATGGCCTTTATTTTCCCTGCCTAGAGAAATCCAAAAGAAATCCCAGCACGAGGCTATTTCTATGAGGGTGAGGAACATATATATCTGTTGACATAATCCAGCAAAAAGTTTACACTTGCCAAAAGAGAGCTGAAAGATAATATTTCCAGGGAGTCTAGACATGCTCACCGCTCTTGAATGGCACAAAGCAGGGCTGAGGGCTGCCAACTATGCTGCCAACAGGTGATGACTCTTCGCAGGGAACTGGATGGGTGGGGCAGGCGCAGAGTTAATGGTGTCAGACTTATTTGCAGTATACAGCAGGAAACTGAAGGCTATATATGCCAAACTGTGAAATAATGCAGTTTATGTAAATGTGAAACATAAACATGTATTTTAAAGCCCTAAATACGTTTAAAAGGTTGTAGATGTCCAAGGCTATACACCTAACATGGTAAAGAGTATGGGCCTACTGGCCTTATGTTGGGGACGAGGGGTTAGTGTGGGATAAAGGGGGGAAAACGAAAATGAAGTGAGTAAATCAACTCACTGCGCAGAAGGTCTCACTCATTATTGATCCTACAGAAACGGATCAATAATGGCCCCAGGAGTGTAGAAGGGTTCCCTTTTATATAAAACCAGCACATTGTACCCCATGATTGCATTGACGTACACAGCTATGATTTAATACAAAAAATGAAAAATAAAATGGTCCCAGGAACCAAAGAATTAATGATGCTTTGTGGTTCTAATAAAAATGTCTAGATCAGTGGTTCTCAACCTTCCTAATGCTGCAACCCTCCAATGCAGTTCCTCATGTTGTGGTGACCCCCAACCATAAAATTATTTTCGTTGCTACTTCATAACTGCAATTTTGCTACTGTTATGAATCGTAATGTAAGTATCTATTATGCAGGAGACTCCCCCCAAAGCGGGGGGGGGGTGAAGATAGAAGCAAACAGGAAAGTCTAGATTAACACAATAATAATTTCTCTAACATTCTCTCAGAATGAACTGTTTTTAAATTTCCAGCCCATCCTAGCACTCTGGGTGGCTGAGGCGGGTGGACTGCCTGAGCTCACAGGTTCAAGACCAGTCTGAGCCAGAGGGAGACCTCATCTCTAAAAATAGCCAGGCGTTGTGGCAAGTGCCTGTAGTCCCAGCCACCTGGGAGGCTGAGGCAAGAGAATCGCTTGAGCCCAAGAGTTGGAGGTTGCTGTGAGCTGTGACGCACACTACCGAGGGTGACAAAGTGAGACTTTGTCTCACAAAAATAAAAAATAAAATAAAATAAATTTCTAGCCCAAACTAAATGCTAGGTCCGCTTAGCAAAAAAGAACACTTTTCTAAAGTCTCTTTAGGGATTTTTGTTTCTGCTGTTATTTGTTTTGTTTTTCCGATAGTGATAATTTCTTCTATTGAAATGGAAACTAAACTATTTATACTCAATGATCTAGATTAACAAGCCAGGCTTCACGAAGTTACAGCCTTGGGTATAATCAGGCTAATTTGTGGTCTGCAGTGCAGTCCTATCTGGAGGGAAAAGCTAGGATCAGATAGATCTGTTAGCCCTTCTTCCTTATTTCTTCTGAAATAAGAAGTATCTGCAGGAAGGAGAGTATAGATTTCCCCAACATTCTTCTCAGACTAAACTCTTTGTTGCAATATAAGTAAAAAACATCATAGTGTTCAGGAAATGTAGCTAAGGCGTCCAGGGTGCGATGTGGACAATCCCAACTTATACGTGTCTGATTTTGTCATGGCTTGAGTCCATATTTCACCTGAATTAATCAATCAAGGACCTAACATTTGGAAAAGTGTTCTGTAAACTATGACGTTATATGCAAATGATGGTGATAGGGATTTTTAAAAACTTAATAATTAGTAAATGCAATAAACCACTGTATACACTGAGAGGAGACATTAAGATGTATGAGTAATACCCCCAGCTCCAGGTGTTAACAATCTCACATAGAAACCCAATTGTTCATGAAAATAAATTACACGTATCGCAAGGTCTCTAGGTTTTGACAGGATATGCAGACAGTCCTATGCAGACATTCACAGGATATGAATGTTGAGACTAAAACCTAAAGAACTTTGCCAGAACTGAGCGGCCTCAAGTAAATACCATCTTTAGTAAAATTCAACTCACTATACCCAACTCTACAGCGAACGGTCATAATTTGGTATTGATCCTGATCAGATTTTAATCCTGTGGAGTCATGAGCTAAGTCTAAGGAATTCATTTGTTTACTAAATACACTCCTTAAATCCTTTGAATCTTTTCAGTAGTTGCATATGAACAACCACCAGTTAACTCCTTTAAGTTGTTGCTTCTTTTTAGTAAGATGTCAAAAACCAGGGTTCTCATATCCCGTCCACAATCAGGAAAATGAAAAAACACAAAGAAAAACAGTTGTTAATGATAACATAATAATTAACCCAATTTCTGAGTCCAATTTAGCTAATGGTAAAGCAATGATTTTCAACCCGTATGCTGTGAAACCTTTTAAAGATCATTAATTAAATTATTTTCAGAAGAATTCAACGCACAGGAAGTGTATTTAAGGGTGCCGTGGAAGTCTAACTATAGGTTCAAACGTGCCGTAAGGTAAAAAAGGTTGAAAAGCACTATGGGAAAGTATGAAACCTTCACCAACTTCTCTTTCCTATTACTTCTCACCTAACTTTTAATCACATTAACTTATATATTCCCATATAACTGATTAGCAGAGCCCCTCATGTATTCATTTGTCATATATCCTCGAATATAAACTTGACCGCAAGTTCGTAAAAGTGGCTGCCCGGCCTTGTGCACGCACATACACCCCCGTTGGTTAAGTGCCATTTCACCTGACAGAATAGAGGAATTTGAAGA